AAAATTGTAAAGGATTAAAAAATATATATAAAAATGGGGAATATCGCGCTTCCGACAATCGCTACGAGTGTGTGGGCTAAATTTGGAGAATCCGTGCTTCTCGCATGTACAACTGTATGAGGCCAGCTCGCGTCGAAAACCTTCTGATTTATTCGTGTACGCACCAGACGGAAAAACAAAAAATATCGTGTATCCACGAGCACTCCAATAAATAAATAGAATTGAAACGACACTTTGAAATATTTTCCCGATGAAAATGAATAATAATAATAATAAGTTTCAATAAAAATGATAAAATGTAAATTGAATTTTATTATAACGAGTTTGCTTGAATTTCCTTTCTTCTGAGATCGCAGCAATGCGCGACGGATAACCTCATATAACTACCTAGTAGTCTTTGTCCCTGCCCCGCCAAATGGCATTACAGGGAGTAGGGGACACTTACTTAATCATCGGTTGGTCCTTTACCCAGAGATCCATCGGGCACTGAGACAATGGTAGCCGGCCCGGGGATATTGCTCGGGCTCTGGCTCTAGCTTATCTCGGGTCAAGGTGATCCGAAGAGTGCCGACCCTCATTGCTTTCATTGCCTTCCTTGCCTTCCTTGCCTTCATTGCTTCCCGAGTCCAGCCTCAACTAGACATGCAAGTAGTACAGTAGACTGTACAAAAGCGCTCAACAAGTGCTCAAGGCACAAGCCAACAGGCGGTGGGGCCTCTCCCTAGGGAGGGTCCCTAATGATCCTGTAGATCCAACACAAAATCCATCAACTCTTTGAGTTGCTTTTTGTTCCCTTCACTAGCTGCAAGCGTTCGAAGCACTTGATCAGGGGGCTTATTCCAGTCGACGTGGTCAGCCCCTCTGCGGAAGTCCTCAGTAAGAGGACAGTCAAGTACGTAGTGCCTCGCGTCACCGCGAAGGCACCCACAGGGGCAGCTACCATCTCCTTGTCCAAATTTGGACTTGAAATGGGGGAACCTTCCGTGTTTGGTCAAGATTTGCATCAACCTGAAGTCACAACTAACTGGAGTTCGGCCAACCTTAGGCACAAAGGCGTAAGTTGACCTACCCACCGTACAACGATTCCAGCGCTCCTGCCAAGAAGTCATTGATCTTCGTAACAGAGTACCTTTAATGTAAGTAGTCGAGGGTTCCACCTTCCTCGTCACAAACGGACCACTGGCTCCCGCCTTTGCCAGTTTATCGGCACGTTTGTTACCCGTGATCCCGATGTGGCCTCGGACCCACCGCAGGGTGTCGTTCGTGCCTCGCCCTCAGCACGTTACTTCTGATCTCTTGTACCAGCAAATCGCGATGGTACCCGTCGCCCAGAGCTTGAAGCGACGATTGGCTGTCGGAGTAAACTGTGACCAGCTCCGGACCCGGGTGTAGTAGGATCCACTGGGATGCCCTCACCAAGGCCACCAGTTCAGCTTGGAACACAGACGCTTCCTCGTTCAGTTTGTCAGACTGACTGTACACATGGACACCGTCACGATAGACACAAAACGCGGCACCTACCAAGCTACCGTCCTTAGAGCCGTCGGTATAGATTTCTATGCCGACATTTGCCGGTTCACCGGCCTCCCAATCCAGTCCAACTCTATAGGCTGGGTGGACTCCTGAAACGTCTGTCTGACGTCTCAGCCTGATTGGGCACTTCTGATTGCAATGCTTCGCCTCAATGCCTTCCACCGTCGTCCGGTAAAAAGCAGCCTCTTGGCTCACAACGAGAGGGAGCGGGAGCAGCCCAGCCAGGACTAGGGCCGCCTCCGTCGACACAGTTCTGTATGCCCTTGAGATCCGAAGGGCTGCGGGACGCTGTATCGTGAGAAGAGTTCTGCTCTGCTTTACGTTTGCAGAGTCCTTCCACCAAATACCACAGGCGTAGCAGATCACACGCTCAACACTCATCTTGTAGATGGTGCGAAGCGCTTCTCCGCTTAGCCCGTAGTTCTCCCTAGCCAGCCTAGATAAGGCCGCTATAGCGACGTTTGTTCTGTCGCGAACGTTTCTCAGGTGAGGCGTCCAACATAGCGTCTGGTCAATGATTACACCGAGGTACTTTAACTCGTTCACCCTTTCGATGGGGTTACCCCTGATCCGGTATATTGGCCGGCGTGCCAAAACTCCGGTTCGGGCCACCGTTAGGGCCTCTGATTTCTCAGGGCTAAAGGAAAGCTTATGTAGCTCTCCCCAGCGAACGAGCTGTTCTATTGCTTCGTTTCCGCGACGCTCCATGTCGCTGCGGCTGTAGCCTGCAACTACTAGCAACAGATCGTCTGCATATGCCTGCAGCTGGACATCCTCAGGGAGGATAAGTCGCAGCGCCGTATCTGCTAGAACGTTCCATAGTAGGAGTCCTATGCAAGACCTCTGCGGACAGCCCCTTTCCAGTATCCTCTCATATCTCTTGCTTGGAGTCTGATAAACCACCGTGCGTCCACTCAGGAAACTCCTGGAAAGTGTTACAAGGGTGGTCGGCAGGTTTGCTTTCCGCAACTCACCCAGTATGGATGGCCACCAGACATTGTCGAAAGGCCCCGCGACATCCATCGAAACGAGTGATGTGTGGAGGCCCTGCTGGCGGTTCTGGTGGACCAGATTAACCGCTCGGTGTAGTGCCCTGCAGGTCGACATGTCGGGACGGAATCCATATTGCTGTGGGTGTAGTAGCCCTTTCCGCTTAAAGTGGTGGAGAATTCTGTCACTGAGGATTCTATCAAGAACCTTCCCCAGGACTGGCAAAAGACTGATTGGTCTGTAGGACCTAGGTTCGTTCTTCGGGCGCCTATTTTTGTGAATAAACAGAAGGCGCGCCCGTTTCCATTGCACTGGGAAATGACCCAGAAGCAGGCACTTCTGATACAGTATACGGAGCAGGTTAGGACGTTCATGATGCAGAACTTGTACCATTTCAGCCGTGATCCCATCAACGCCAGGTGCCTTTCCTTTTCGTAGGTTACCGATGGTATGGGTCACCTCAGAGTCAGTCACCGGCACGGGCATCGCGGCCTCAAGAGCAGGCAACTCCGCCTCCCAACGAAGCCGCCGTTGCTCTTTGGTGTCATCTGATTGCTCGTCACATGGGAAATGCGAGCGGAGCAACACTTCAATCGACTCCTCCATTGTGGATGTTAGGGTTCCATCCGGTTTCTTAATGGACCCCAAGACCGTGCTACGTTTTAGCTTACCAGAAACAAGTTTGTAAGGAAGGCAGAACGGGTTTTCATCACAGATACGTTGACAGAAACTGAGCCATGAGGACTTTTTCGCATTGTTTATCTTGTACTTGTACTCGGCATTGGCCTTCTGGAACTCCAGTTTCCTGGTTGCCCGAAGGTCATCGTCCCTGCAACGTTGGAAGCGTCGTCAGAGCGCCCTCACACGCTTCCTTAGGACACTCAGTTCCTGGTTCCACCAAGGAACTGACCGGTGGCTGACGGGCCTCCGTTGCGCGAGCGTGCAGTCTCCTGCTTCTCTGACCGCTTCGGTGAGTGTGGCCACGACATCCTTCAGGTCTTCGACACTCTCAACCTTAGAGACTTGTGTGACTATGTCGACCGTCTTGTGTTTGAGGCATTTGGCAAATTGACTGCGGTTTCCGTCATTAAGCCTGTAGCAGCTACTCTGCCATTCCGGCGAGTCGCACATTACGTGGTACGCAATGAAGCGATGGTCGCTGCAGCTTTCTGAGTCGATGGTTTCCCATTGCGAGATCAGCTTAAGCATAGCCCCACTCACGATAGTGAGGTCGATCCAGCTCTCACCCGATGGAGAGGAGTAGGTAGCAATTCCGAACGGATCGTTCAGAACGTGCATCCCCCAACCCTCCGCCGCTTCCTTCATCGTGTCCCCGTCCAGGTCGTCAACAGGGGAGCCCCAGAGCGAGTGTTTGGCGTTGAAGTCACCTGCCAGAACTACCCACTTATGAGGCGAGACAACCTTTTCGAGTTCAGTCAGAAGAACACCCAGTTTGAGTGACGGCGGGCGATAACTGGAGACCACGACCATCGTGCCGCCCGGAAGCCGTAGTTCTACAGCTACCATGAGAGGCGATACGTGGAAGGCAAATGCGTCAACATTCCTCCGCGTTAGGATAACTGCGGAACGACATTCATCACCTTCTTGGGCAAAAATGCTCCATTGAAGTGATAGGCCACTGACCTTTCCTTGTACTAAGTATGGCTCTTGGAGCAGGATGATGTCAATCTCCCGCTCAACCACTTCTACCCGCAATTGGGCAGTTGCGGCACGGCACTTTTCGGCGTTAAACTGCAGAAATCTGCAGCCACGTCGTACGTTCGCCTCTGATGTGTGTTGAGATACAGAGTTGAACGCAAAAAGTTATTCCTGTTTAGGACGGACCGTAGTCCGTCCTGGCCCGAACTCTCTCAAGTTCCCGTGCGTAGCACGGACAGTTGGCATTCATTGCTGAATGGCCGGTACCCAACTGTAGGCCGAACTTCTTGTTAGCCCGTATGCAATTAACGCAATTGGGCTCTGTGGAATTACACTCCTTGTAGGAGTGATCATCGGCACATTTGCTACACTTCTGGTTGCCCGCCGTACAACCATTTGCTACGTGCCCGAAGGCGTAGCATTTGTAGCACCGGGTGCAAGCCAAATGTTCCCTCACCCGGTTGCGCGTCCAACCCACATGGATTCTCCCCCGCTGCAGGAGAGTGCAGAAAACCATAGGAAAGACCTCGATCACCCAGTTCACGAGGCCCTCCTTTCCCTTAAGAAGGAAACGAGGCAGCAGTTCCCCAGGCTGCGCCTCTAGGCTATTCTGCAATAGGATGGTTTCTACAAGACGTTCGCTTTTGATATCTGGACTGACATCAAATACAATGACCCTTGGCCGGCGCTTTTGAGATAGCCGACAAGTTACCGCCTCTCTCAGCGCCGGTGGGCCCTCTGTCATAGCTTTTGACAGTTTAGCGACATCCTGGCCCTTCGAGACCTCAACCAGGACGCCGTTATTCCGGATCCGCCTCACATTCTTTATCTTGATCCCCAACGTAACCGGGTTGATATGTGATTTGAGTAGCTCCCTCGTACGGTCGCTACTCATGGCTTGATCCTTGGGGTAGACCAGGAGCGTATGTTCCGTGGTGACTACCTTCGGTTTAGCGACCGCTCGTGGTCCGTCTTGGATATGCTGGGCCGGTCGAGCAGCTACGGATGCATAGGTCATGCGCTCCGTGCGTGGCGCTTTACCTTTCTCAAAGGGAGGGTTTGGAGGTTGTCGAGCGCCTCCTATCTCCCGAAGAGTCTTGTTTTCTGCCCGGAGGGAGGCCATCTCAACCTCCTGGGCGTTAACAATACTCGCCATTTTGTTAAAAAGACCGTAGATGACCCCGCACGTGGATTTCTGACATCTGTTGTCAGACTTACCCAACAAGAGTGCTAACTCCTGCTGGATATCATCCAGAGCGGTCCTACGGCTTTCAGCCGTTTCAAGTCCTTCCCCCTGCATTTGAGGGGGCGCTAACGACGGCGTTTCGCCAGCTTCTGCACTTGTTTTCGCGGATACTGACGCGGTAGGGCCCTTTCGCTTACCCTTCAACTTGGGTTTAGGCCCGCCTTTGTTTTTGGCTGAGGGTTTCCCCTCAGTCACGGCCGCCGCAGCTTCGGCGGGTTTGTCTTTTGGCGTTATGCCGTCAGACTTGCCCGTTTTAGTTTTGGCCACCTCCCGCCTTTTTTTTTTCCTTCGTTCAGGGGCAGCTTTCCAATCGCTGTCCCCGCCCGAGGTAACCATGTTGAACGCCTCTGGACCGGAGTCCGAATCGGAGCTACTCGAGACCAGAGGTATGGGTGCCTTAATGGCATCCTGCCTGCCCTCTCCAGGCTTGCTGCAGTCATTGGCGGGTTTGCATTTCCGCAGCACCCACCTCTCCAGCGATTGGGTGTTGTCAGCACCCGTCGCAACTGCTTCGTCTATCGTGGACAACGAATTAGCTTCAGCCGATGTCACAGGTTCGCCTGGAGCACACTTAATGCATTCACTATTTGCACTATTCATTGTAACCATAAAGATAGAAAATAAAAGGGAGGGTGGAGGGTGATCTCAACCTTTCGCGGGCGCCCTGAGTCCGTTTGGGGTTTGGGGTATGCGTTTAAGAGCCGGCTCTGACTTCGGTCTTACTGAGGGCTCATTTTGGCCCTCTTATTGCCGGGTCGTCACTGCATTGGCCCGCTGCCGAGACAGCTACCCATTTAAGTGGCCTCCTACCCAAGGTTACCCCAGCCCGGCTGGTTGCTCGGCGTGGGCCGCCCCCTGAGCCCTACTAGGAGACGCTCTTCCCGTTTCCAGTTCTCCGAGACCATATACGGCCATCCAACGCATCGTCAGGCCTTTAAGCACCGCTCCCCCCCCAAGAATAAGGAATTTGGCCCTATACCGAGGAGCGGCTCTGCCAACTGCCCGTCAGGATAGATATCAGCTAGCAGGATCCCTCAATCCACTGAGGGCGCTATCCCCCTGGCCACCAGCGAGGCTTCGGCTTGGGAGTTCGACTCCTCGCCCCACTGGCTTCGACATGCAGGTCGTGGCCCCCAGGCCAGCACTTGGGTGTGCAAAGCCCAAGTCTTCCTCCTGGGAAGCTGATTCTTCGTTTACCGGACAGAAGGAGCTTTACGTGGTTTGCGTTACCACGGGCACAGGCTAAGTCGACTGCATTCGACCGCCTTTAACTGTGGAACATCAGCCCCGTGCCACCGGGTAGATGCAGGAGTTCGTTTTGTGTGTCTCAGCTTCCAGAGGGTGTGGATTGTCAGATCCATGGCCTCCGGTCACTGTGCCGACGCGGGAATTGAATCCAGAAGTTTCGGCGTCCACTGTGTGCTCCAATGTGTAATATCAGGGACATAACCCATCGACCCAGGGTACAATGCGCATCACGCTACAAGCAGACGATTTGACCGTCGCGAGTAGGGGGACTCGGGATCGTTTGCCGAAGCACAGAATCCCTACCACTTTTCGGCAGCGCCCCTATCGTGTGCCATCACACCGCAGGCCAGTGGGTGCCTACACTTCCATCAGTAGGGCTACCAACTTTCGTCGGCGTGTACGCCAACTTCCGTCAGACGAGCCCAATCGACTACACTCCACTTATCTCGTCCAAAGACAAGTCCTCCTTAGGAACCATATTAGCGACGGTTACGGCGACTATCCCCCGGCTCCGGACTTACTGAGGGCTCATTTTGGCCCTCTTATTGCCGATACCATTAGGAACAGCCCCGCGCCTCGACCGCGCCAGTCTCCCTTCTGTTTTAGTGTGAGTCTGCATGCCACAATGCCAAATAGCAGCTCTTGTAGCCGTCCGCTCCAGCGGAGATAGGTTCCAGTTTAGGGAGAGTTTCGAAACCCCGCCGGAGTCGTCCCCCACCTGAAGCGACACGCGGACAGCAAGCTTTTAAATGGCTTGGTACGCAGACCCAAAGCCTATGTTATTCTGACACCTCTGGAACCTTTGGCTCGAGTCCGAAGACTCCACTAGCGATCGAGACCAAGACGAGTCTTTCGGGACCCATTACCCGTCGTCTCTCACCGCCGGTCCCCCCGCCACGACCAGGCTTGGTTCCCTACCTGGGGGGGCGCGACGGGTAAGCTAGTATTTTATATTTTATTTAAATTCTAATTTTTATAATTAAAACTTTTATGGTATTTTGCGTCGATTCCAGAAAAACTTTGGTCACAAAATTTTCTAGAATTATTTTTAGACATTTGAGTTAATATTTTATCCGATACTTGGTTTTCTTCTAATAATAAATTTAATTTCGTTTAATATAGATTCTATAACATGTTTTTTCTGTAATAGAAAGAAAATATAATTTGTATTAGTCTGTATTAATTTTTTAAAATTAAATACACAAAGAGCAATTATTTATTGTGATATCGTTAGTTTCGGGCTCCAATTTTTCGTCACCGCAATTTTAGTAGTGTTTTGCCCGTGTACATCATACTTTTCCTGTTAACAATAGAATCATGCAGATCATCTATGTAACTTCGTTCAGGAGAAAATTTCTAAATTAAAATAATGTGTCTTCGGGTTCAAACCGAAGTTCTTATATAGTTAATCGGGGTCTCCTATCCCTAAGCTTTCGTGTTTGGTCTCAATTACCATCTAAATAACTTCATTTTTCAAGGACAAATTTTTAATTTGCACATATGCCATACAGATCGGAAACTTTATCCGTTAAATCGAGATTTTATTGTAATGATATTATTGTTTTTTAAACTAATGAAATTTGGATATATTCGGATGAAAATTATATCCAAATTTTATATACCGTTAATTCATATTCTGCGAATGAAAATTATATGTATAGTCTGGACCAAATAAAGGGAACGGTTAAAACTTTTTGGGTCGAGTCTTGGATAAGAGAAGACCTCAAAATTTAAACTTTCGTATAAAAAACATGACTCGAAAGTGATATACAATAAAATTTCTTTCGATAATTAGTGCAAAATCTGTTTCGTTTGCTTTCAAAGAAAGGGCCCAAATTCGCTAGTTTTTCTGAAGCTCGCGAATCTACTAAATCGGAATTTCGGATAGGGTTTTCTCTCACTCCCCTCAGGATCTGAATGTTATAATTTTGATTTGATTTCTCAAATGAAAATTATAATGTATAATGCGAATGTATAATGCGAAATTGCTTATAAACTTTTCCTGTCTGTCGGTGGTCTTAATCCCGAGAACAGTGCTAGATAGATGAAAGTCAAGAACAGATATGGTAAGCTTAGAGGCAGCAGGTTCAGATTAACTATAGATGAACTGGATCAAATGTTATATGACTTGAATTGAAAATTTTCCCTAGAACGGAGTTGCATGAATGACCGGCATAATTCTGTTTTTATCAGGAAAAGTATAATGTACAGCAGTGTTTTCCAACCTGTAAGTCGCGACCCCCAGCAAGGTCGCGAAGCCTTACACGGGGGGTCGCGGGCAAAAGAAAAATACAAGTGTGTGTAAGTCCTACACTACATTAAAAAAATACTGCGCATTTGATTTTTTGATCAATACTCAGGTTTCAATCATTTT